AAAACACTAGTACATTTAGGTATTGATAATAATCTGATCACTTCAAAGATGACTTTACTTCTTACTGAACTAACGAATATTATTAGTTCACTATGATTTTTAAAGTTATGGATCTTCGTTGAGGTAACCGAAATAAGGATAAACTGGAATTATATCCCTATTCAAAGTAAATTTTCGACTACAAATGAAATGTATTATAAAAGTACTTGTTAAAGTTTACGCTCAGTAATTTCGAAAATTCTATATCACGATAATATTACTGGTAGAGATATCGAATTCAGGGAGCAGAGAACATCTACATAGTTTCGATGGATAACTGATAAAAGCTTGTTTTCTGTGGTTGTGTATCTGAAACCTTAAGACTCTCATTGGACAACAAGTCTTTAAATTGGTATGGTAGAATTTTGCAATGAGCTACGTAAAGACTAATTTCTTCCGATTCATAAAGAAAATTTTACAGGGCTCTTCGGGCCTACTACTTTTCATTTCAGATTTAAAGTTTGAAATAACAAAAGTAGATTATCGAAATTCACTATTTATCACTTGATAATCCTTTTCAATGATAGAGCTAACTACTAATACGTGTGGTTTAGTAAAAATTGTTTACAAAACACTATAATGACTAATAAATTAATAACAAACTCAATAAAAAGTTCTCTATCTTCTTTTCGGAAACTTAACTTTTAACGATGGTCATTTCCAAAGTTGATATTAGATAAAAATTATTCTATATTTCAAAGTAACTGATGTTGGAAATACTGACCACTGGTTTCCGACACAGACGTTCGGCTAAATTGTGGTCCCTGAGAGTCATAATCATCGTGTGATTAAACCAGTATGAGTTGACAAGTGTTCACTTTTAATTAGACCCACAATAAAACGTGTTGGCTATTCGTATTTATTTCCTAAAGTAAACCATAATATTAAGTAAGTTTTTACAAAATTTAAATCAGATAAATTTATTGTATCTCATTACATCCGTTTTAAATAAATGTAAACAAATAACTAAATTTATTAGTTAAATTCATGAGTTTATTGAAGTTAGACCACCATCGAAGACCTGGAAGCACTCCTAGGCCATTTCTTCTTATTATGAGACTCCCCAACAATGGGCATCCACCACCCCACCTCGCAAGATTCGAATCAAGGACCTATCGGTCCTGAACCATTAAGCCGGCATCTAACAGTGTTAATATCTAACTTCAACCGATCCTAAATAACAATGGGAAGATACAAGTAAAACAACATCAAGCGAATGGAAACAAATTATGTTACAAAATTAGGAAATTTCATTGGTACACATTTTCTAAAATCTTCTTCAAAAACTGTAACATGGTAACAAAAAAATTATCTTTGACAACATTTCTCACTTTCAATCAAATAGTACAATAGTTACATTGTCAATATTTTTAGTCATAAACTTCTAATTAAAATCTTCAAATGTGTTTATTTTACTCATGTTGTCAACTGAAACGTAATAATTATAGTGCAAAATATATAACATTGATTCATACGAGTTAATTGATGTATTTCAAGGAACGAAGTAAAGTTATATCATATGGAAAGAATATATTTAACCCTATCCTTGTTCTGAACGACATCCTATTGATATATCCTGTTTATAGATTCTAAAAAAAAGACAAAAACAAGAAAGAACTCTTTAAGCTCAATGATATGAACTTGTCTGATTCAGAGTAGTATAGTCAGTATTTGATTATTGCATCTGATAATGACTAATATGTGTTATAAGTTGATTTAAATTTCGTCATATTAATCACTGAATTTTGGATCAGTAGGTTGAAGGCATCTTATTAAGATTTTTAAGATTTGATCTTCTGTAATGTGAAGTTCTGATGATCCCCAAAGTGGAAATCCAGTAACTGATCAGTAACCTCTTATTTTCAACTATTCTTCAGTCAACGTTATTGTAAAAGTAAACTGGTCAGATTATTAGTGTTTTCTCACTAGTTTTAAACCAAAAATAATGATGATAATAACGATTATTATTATCTCCACGATTATTGCTAATGTTGTTTTCACCATTATTATTATTATTATTATTATTATTATTATCAAATAGACAATTGTGATAATTCATATTTTACAGGTTAGAACTTTCTCGCGCACGAGACCGAAGGTCATGGGTTCAAATCCCGCATGCGGGATCGTGGATGAGCACTACTGAGGAGTCCCACAATAGGACGAAACGGCAGTCCAGTGCTTTCATGTTTTCAATTGTGGTCTAGCTTACACTAAATCATGAATTCAACTATTAAACGCAGTACAATCTCCATAAACCACTCACTAATGAGAATGGAAACTATTAAAAAACTGTATTATATAACTGGTTTCTAGTAAAGCTTAAAATGTTGTCATACTTCAGAAAAGTGTAATTAATGACTGAAATTAGTAGAATATTACACTCTCATCACTTTGTATTAAATATTATGGTGGGCATTTTGAGAAAGTGTCTGAAATAGTCTTAATAGTAATTTACATCTAACCTGCAGGTACTTTGTGTATTTAGGTGGAGGTGCTTAGCAAAATGTATAGGGAAATCTAGAAAAGTAAAGAACATGAGAAAAATTGAACAAACTCCATGAGCAAATTAAGATGTATGTACATTTAATTGGTGACAATAACCTAAAACAATTCGGGATAAAGCAAATATGAGATCGAATAATTAAGAATAAAGTTGATAGAATGAGATTTTGAATGAATTAGCATATATATATGAATTACCATATATATAGAAAGCAACATATATTGATTACATTATTTATATCTTCAACCAATTCATGAACCAAATCAAAACGAAAACTTAACTGAATCTAAAAAGATCAATATCATTATCAAACAATAACAAAATTAAAATATATTTAGAAAAATATATATTTATACTCGTTAAAAATTTCCCAAAAGTTACTCATTCAGTACATCCATTACTGAACAAATCTCCAAAGACCTGAAACAAATAAATATTGATTGAAGTTAGATAGTAACACCGTTGGATGCCAGTTCAGGTTACGCGTTCGCGTGAGAGACCGATAGGTCCTGGGTTCAAATCTCACGAGGCAGAATCGTGGGTGCGCACTGTTGAGGAGTCCCATACTATTATGAAACGGCTTTGCAGTGCTTTCAGGCTCTCCATGGTGGTCTAGCTTCAATTGACTTATGAATTCACTCAAATGAAATATTCTTCGTAATGAATAATAGGCAACGACTTTTTTAAAGTATTCACTGAAGATATAGTTCCTTGTAATCAATTATCGAAGAACACAATTATACAGATCTTAAATAGAACTTGGTTGACAAGTGGAGTTAAACTTCTATTTAGCATGAGATTAGTGTTATCCTCTATACGAGAGAATGATGATTTCACAATATTAAAATTTATCTAAGGTCAGGAATATGACTAAATGAAAGTCAATTAAGTGATTTAAATGTCAGGCACATGTTGTGAGATCTGACAAGCTTGGGTTCTAGTTCTGATTGAACAATGAGGACACTTTACTAAAAAGTCATATACTAGAAAAACATAATTATTCAGTGCTTTCTGATTTTCAATGATTGTCTAACTAAAATCAGTTCATAATGTAAACTATAGGAATCTAGATTTACTTTCTACGTAAAGATCTATGTAGATAAGGATTAATAAACACAGAAGAATGTCTTAAAATCCTTTTTTGAAATGGTTACTTCAAGTATTCTTCCATTGGCATTATTCACTATGCAATAATAGTAATAAGTGAATATGATAAACGTGAAAATATGATTACAATAGGATAATCATTTAGTTAAGTTGAATGGGATTGGATTAATTCATTACTGTTATGTCTATCAATCTATATCTGTTAGTCTCTCATTTTACCTGAATTTTTACCAATTTGATTGATTCTTTTCTAAACTGAAATGATATAGGCTAGCTAGTTGGTTACTTATTATTATGGCCACGCAATTTAAGTAAAAAAAATTTTTGTCCAATACCAGTAATCATGAGCACAGATAGGTGATAATAATACTACACATGTAATCATAAGTATACAGGCAAATTAAGTTCAATTCACTTTTAAGCTGATAGGTTATTCTGTTTTAAGAAAAAATTTAAAAAAAAGTTTTTGTTTTTCTTTCACCATTCATAACAAACAAACAACTATCATATACATTATTATTATTATATTCAAAGGGGGGTTTTTGTTTTCTTTACAAACTTGAGAGATCAATAATATTTATCAACACCTACGCAATATTATCCAACAACAGAAAAAAAAAGAAAAAAATATATAGAATCAACGACTATCTAATTTCTATAATATTCAATTCTACAGTGAAGGTTTCAGACGATGCATGTCTCCATACAATAATGCAAAATTTCAATCAGAAACAATATAAGGCAATTTGTGAAATACAATAATCATCATCAATAATAATTATTTAAGGCAGCAAGTATACTTTCGAATTTTGCAAAAACGCCTTATTTTTTTGTTTTTGTCTTTTCTATATTTGTATTCAACATAATAGTGGAATCATTTTTTATTATCTTTCTTCTTCTTCCATTGATAATCATATAACAGATTTATACAAATGATCAGTACAAGATCAATGAGAATATTGGACAAATATACATAGATCATTTTCTAATTATCTATATTCAAGTTGCTATATCAATCAAATTCTCTATGAAAGAATTCAATATATAATATGAAAGTTGATATCCACTATATGTTATTTGTTGTAATATACAAAGTTTAAATTGATCTTCTATGGAGACATATTCCTTCACTTAATTTCAGCGGAAATTTATCATCAATGTTATGAACATTTTTTCTTTGAACCTATGACGTAATCAGTTTAAGAAAGTATAACATTATTATTTAGATTGGAAAAATATCTCTATTTTAATAAATATCTATTTTTACTATGTCTACTGAAGTGAATCCAATTGATATGAAACAAACATCACCAACAACTGATGAATCAATGAAAGTAGATCTAATGAAATGGATGATAATTTAAAATCAAATATTACATGTGAATTATATGATACATTAATAGATCCAGAATGTAAAAAATCTAAATTATCTGATGTTTGGGAAACAAGTCATACACCTCCATTAGAATGTCAAGAATATGATTCGTTAAAAGTTAAAAAAGATCTATACAAAGATATTACTACCAATGTAGATGTTGTTGTTGATGATGGTGATGGTGATAATTTGAAAAAATTCCATGATACAGAAAAAACTGTATCATGTTATAGACATACAGATGATTATGAAATATATCATTCTAGTATTGAAAAAGATATTTGTACAGAATTGGATAATCCTATGTACATACCAATTAAATTACCATTGAGTAGTAATTTATATGTTCCAGTATATTATGTACAGTCGAGTGAAGAAACTTCACCTAATTAAATAAACATAATTTGGATTTTAATGACTCAAATAATATCCATAAGGATTCTATTAATAATAATAATAATATCAAATCAACGGTAAGTCATAAATATCGATTAAATTCTCATGATAACCTAAGTAAACAAGATGAATCTCAACGACTAACTAGTGATTATCATATAAATATTAATAATCAGGGATATGAAAATTGTTTATCAAAATATGATACAACTAAGCCAGAACCTAATCCTTATGATTTAGAAATATGTAATGTAAAGACAGAATTAAATGAACCATTAATCAAAACAAAACATTCAGAGAAATCAAAAACTAGTAAAGTGTTATTAAAACAAAAACTAAATTTTATGAAGCCAAAATTAAAAATGAATATGAATAATACAGAAAATGAAATTGTTATACCGGATAATCAAGGAAAAATGACTGATGAAAGTAATAGAATTGAAAAAAGACAAAAAATTGGTTGTTCACCGAAACTTAAATTTAAAAAACATGAACATCGAAATAGAAAAGAAACAGAAATTATGCAACAAAATGATAAACCTGTTGAAGGAATTATCAGTGGAAAAGAATACAAAATTCTTGATCAGATTTGAATAATCAACCCAACGAAAATGTATCAATTGAAACATCAGCAATGGAAAACAAAAACGTGAAAGAAAAATGAAAATCCTACATCGAAAGAAAAATGAAGTAAAAGAAAACGAAAACAAGATATCAAAAAGAGTACAAAAGAAAGAAAGACGAATAACAGGCAACAGAGCAACCAAAGAAAAAATAACGGAAGATGAAAAGAGAAGAAACAAAAACAGAAGACAGAAACGAAGAACCGAAAACGAATGAAGAACCCATGCGTAAAATTTAATATGACAAAAGAAAGTCAGCAAAAACTACTGCAGAAAAGCATAGCAGAAGGAAAATCGAAAACGGATGAAAGAACAAAAAAAGAAAAACCAGAAAAAGGAGAAAAAAACCAGAAAACAGACGTCGGGAGAAAAAAGTTCCACTGGTCTCCGAATATCTCATTGCCAAAGTTGAAAGTGCATGGACCAGATTTGTCTGGAAAACTTCATGCAGATGCACCTGATGTGGATGTGAATGTGACTGGTCCATCTGTGGAGATGCCATCTCTGAAAGCCAGTGGTCATTTGCCTACTGTCGATGTGTCCGTTCCCGATGCATCGTTGGGAGGTGATCTATCCGGTAAGCTCGATTTGGAGGGTGTCGGTGTGGGAGTTGTGGACGCCGATTTGAATCTGCCAGACCTACAGATCTCAGGAAATGTGAGTGCACCGTCTGTCGAGGGAGACCTATCCATGCCAGATGTTTCCGCCAATCTGGACACAGATGTGAAACTGCCCAGTGTGCAACTGACTGGTCCAGATCTCCGTGTACATGGTGAGATGCCGGATGTAGATGTGGGTGCTAAGGTGGATGTGCCGAAACCACATATTTCAATCAAGACACCGAAATTCGGGTTCGGTCTGGGCAAGAAGAAGACGAAAGTGAAGACTCCAAAGGCTGATGTGAAAGTGGAGGGTGGAGCAGGTGGCGATATAGATTTGGATGCCGGTTTGGACGCTCACTTAGATGGTAAAGCAAGAAAGGGAGGTAAGAAGTTCCATTGGTCTCCTAAGTTCGGGTTGCCGAAGGGTGGTCTGAAGATTGGTGGAGGTGCTGGTGTTGGAGTGCCGGACACCTCGGTGTCTGTCTCAGGTACGACTGGTGGTGTGGATGTGTCTCTTCCGAAACCCGAACTCGATGTCTCCATGGAGGTTCCCGACGTTGGTGTGTCCGCCTCTGTGCCCGAAATCGATGTATCAGGTGGTGAGTTGGGACTGACTGGGAAGGTTTCTGCACCCGGTGTGGATGTCAGTGTTCCGTCGAAGAAGAAGAAGTTCACCTTCGGTTGGGGCTCGAAAGACAAGAAGGCGAAGAAGGTGAAGTTGCCCACAGTGTCGGGAGACGTGGATGCTAGTTTGGATGTGGGTGGAAAGGTTGATGTTCCCAGTGTGAAAGTTGATGTGGACTCAGGTGATCGAGTCAAAGGTAAGAAGTTCCACTGGTCTCCGAATATCTCATTGCCAAAGTTGAAAGTGCATGGACCAGATTTGTCTGGAAAACTTCATGCAGATGCACCTGATGTGGATGTGAATGTGACTGGTCCATCTGTGGAGATGCCATCTCTGAAAGCCAGTGGTCATTTGCCTACTGTCGATGTGTCCGTTCCCGATGCATCGTTGGGAGGTGATCTATCCGGTAAGCTCGATTTGGAGGGTGTCGGTGTGGGAGTTGTGGACGCCGATTTGAATCTGCCAGACCTACAGATCTCAGGAAATGTGAGTGCACCGTCTGTCGAGGGAGACCTATCCATGCCAGATGTTTCCGCCAATCTGGACACAGATGTGAAACTGCCCAGTGTGCAACTGACTGGTCCAGATCTCCGTGTACATGGTGAGATGCCGGATGTAGATGTGGGTGCTAAGGTGGATGTGCCGAAACCACATATTTCAATCAAGACACCGAAATTCGGGTTCGGTCTGGGCAAGAAGAAGACGAAAGTGAAGACTCCAAAGGCTGATGTGAAAGTGGAGGGTGGAGCAGGTGGCGATATAGATTTGGATGCCGGTTTGGACGCTCACTTAGATGGTAAAGCAAGAAAGGGAGGTAAGAAGTTCCATTGGTCTCCTAAGTTCGGGTTGCCGAAGGGTGGTCTGAAGATTGGTGGAGGTGCTGGTGTTGGAGTGCCGGACACCTCGGTGTCTGTCTCAGGTACGACTGGTGGTGTGGATGTGTCTCTTCCGAAACCCGAACTCGATGTCTCCATGGAGGTTCCCGACGTTGGTGTGTCCGCCTCTGTGCCCGAAATCGATGTATCAGGTGGTGAGTTGGGACTGACTGGGAAGGTTTCTGCACCCGGTGTGGATGTCAGTGTTCCGTCGAAGAAGAAGAAGTTCACCTTCGGTTGGGGCTCGAAAGACAAGAAGGCGAAGAAGGTGAAGTTGCCCACAGTGTCGGGAGACGTGGATGCTAGTTTGGATGTGGGTGGAAAGGTTGATGTTCCCAGTGTGAAAGTTGATGTGGACTCAGGTGATCGAGTCAAAGGTAAGAAGTTCCACTGGTCTCCGAATATCTCATTGCCAAAGTTGAAAGTGCATGGACCAGATTTGTCTGGAAAACTTCATGCAGATGCACCTGATGTGGATGTGAATGTGACTGGTCCATCTGTGGAGATGCCATCTCTGAAAGCCAGTGGTCATTTGCCTACTGTCGATGTGTCCGTTCCCGATGCATCGTTGGGAGGTGATCTATCCGGTAAGCTCGATTTGGAGGGTGTCGGTGTGGGAGTTGTGGACGCCGATTTGAATCTGCCAGACCTACAGATCTCAGGAAATGTGAGTGCACCGTCTGTCGAGGGAGACCTATCCATGCCAGATGTTTCCGCCAATCTGGACACAGATGTGAAACTGCCCAGTGTGCAACTGACTGGTCCAGATCTCCGTGTACATGGTGAGATGCCGGATGTAGATGTGGGTGCTAAGGTGGATGTGCCGAAACCACATATTTCAATCAAGACACCGAAATTCGGGTTCGGTCTGGGCAAGAAGAAGACGAAAGTGAAGACTCCAAAGGCTGATGTGAAAGTGGAGGGTGGAGCAGGTGGCGATATAGATTTGGATGCCGGTTTGGACGCTCACTTAGATGGTAAAGCAAGAAAGGGAGGTAAGAAGTTCCATTGGTCTCCTAAGTTCGGGTTGCCGAAGGGTGGTCTGAAGATTGGTGGAGGTGCTGGTGTTGGAGTGCCGGACACCTCGGTGTCTGTCTCAGGTACGACTGGTGGTGTGGATGTGTCTCTTCCGAAACCCGAACTCGATGTCTCCATGGAGGTTCCCGACGTTGGTGTGTCCGCCTCTGTGCCCGAAATCGATGTATCAGGTGGTGAGTTGGGACTGACTGGGAAGGTTTCTGCACCCGGTGTGGATGTCAGTGTTCCGTCGAAGAAGAAGAAGTTCACCTTCGGTTGGGGCTCGAAAGACAAGAAGGCGAAGAAGGTGAAGTTGCCCACAGTGTCGGGAGACGTGGATGCTAGTTTGGATGTGGGTGGAAAGGTTGATGTTCCCAGTGTGAAAGTTGATGTGGACTCAGGTGATCGAGTCAAAGGTAAGAAGTTCCACTGGTCTCCGAATATCTCATTGCCAAAGTTGAAAGTGCATGGACCAGATTTGTCTGGAAAACTTCATGCAGATGCACCTGATGTGGATGTGAATGTGACTGGTCCATCTGTGGAGATGCCATCTCTGAAAGCCAGTGGTCATTTGCCTACTGTCGATGTGTCCGTTCCCGATGCATCGTTGGGAGGTGATCTATCCGGTAAGCTCGATTTGGAGGGTGTCGGTGTGGGAGTTGTGGACGCCGATTTGAATCTGCCAGACCTACAGATCTCAGGAAATGTGAGTGCACCGTCTGTCGAGGGAGACCTATCCATGCCAGATGTTTCCGCCAATCTGGACACAGATGTGAAACTGCCCAGTGTGCAACTGACTGGTCCAGATCTCCGTGTACATGGTGAGATGCCGGATGTAGATGTGGGTGCTAAGGTGGATGTGCCGAAACCACATATTTCAATCAAGACACCGAAATTCGGGTTCGGTCTGGGCAAGAAGAAGACGAAAGTGAAGACTCCAAAGGCTGATGTGAAAGTGGAGGGTGGAGCAGGTGGCGATATAGATTTGGATGCCGGTTTGGACGCTCACTTAGATGGTAAAGCAAGAAAGGGAGGTAAGAAGTTCCATTGGTCTCCTAAGTTCGGGTTGCCGAAGGGTGGTCTGAAGATTGGTGGAGGTGCTGGTGTTGGAGTGCCGGACACCTCGGTGTCTGTCTCAGGTACGACTGGTGGTGTGGATGTGTCTCTTCCGAAACCCGAACTCGATGTCTCCATGGAGGTTCCCGACGTTGGTGTGTCCGCCTCTGTGCCCGAAATCGATGTATCAGGTGGTGAGTTGGGACTGACTGGGAAGGTTTCTGCACCCGGTGTGGATGTCAGTGTTCCGTCGAAGAAGAAGAAGTTCACCTTCGGTTGGGGCTCGAAAGACAAGAAGGCGAAGAAGGTGAAGTTGCCCACAGTGTCGGGAGACGTGGATGCTAGTTTGGATGTGGGTGGAAAGGTTGATGTTCCCAGTGTGAAAGTTGATGTGGACTCAGGTGATCGAGTCAAAGGTAAGAAGTTCCACTGGTCTCCGAATATCTCATTGCCAAAGTTGAAAGTGCATGGACCAGATTTGTCTGGAAAACTTCATGCAGATGCACCTGATGTGGATGTGAATGTGACTGGTCCATCTGTGGAGATGCCATCTCTGAAAGCCAGTGGTCATTTGCCTACTGTCGATGTGTCCGTTCCCGATGCATCGTTGGGAGGTGATCTATCCGGTAAGCTCGATTTGGAGGGTGTCGGTGTGGGAGTTGTGGACGCCGATTTGAATCTGCCAGACCTACAGATCTCAGGAAATGTGAGTGCACCGTCTGTCGAGGGAGACCTATCCATGCCAGATGTTTCCGCCAATCTGGACACAGATGTGAAACTGCCCAGTGTGCAACTGACTGGTCCAGATCTCCGTGTACATGGTGAGATGCCGGATGTAGATGTGGGTGCTAAGGTGGATGTGCCGAAACCACATATTTCAATCAAGACACCGAAATTCGGGTTCGGTCTGGGCAAGAAGAAGACGAAAGTGAAGACTCCAAAGGCTGATGTGAAAGTGGAGGGTGGAGCAGGTGGCGATATAGATTTGGATGCCGGTTTGGACGCTCACTTAGATGGTAAAGCAAGAAAGGGAGGTAAGAAGTTCCATTGGTCTCCTAAGTTCGGGTTGCCGAAGGGTGGTCTGAAGATTGGTGGAGGTGCTGGTGTTGGAGTGCCGGACACCTCGGTGTCTGTCTCAGGTACGACTGGTGGTGTGGATGTGTCTCTTCCGAAACCCGAACTCGATGTCTCCATGGAGGTTCCCGACGTTGGTGTGTCCGCCTCTGTGCCCGAAATCGATGTATCAGGTGGTGAGTTGGGACTGACTGGGAAGGTTTCTGCACCCGGTGTGGATGTCAGTGTTCCGTCGAAGAAGAAGAAGTTCACCTTCGGTTGGGGCTCGAAAGACAAGAAGGCGAAGAAGGTGAAGTTGCCCACAGTGTCGGGAGACGTGGATGCTAGTTTGGATGTGGGTGGAAAGGTTGATGTTCCCAGTGTGAAAGTTGATGTGGACTCAGGTGATCGAGTCAAAGGTAAGAAGTTCCACTGGTCTCCGAATATCTCATTGCCAAAGTTGAAAGTGCATGGACCAGATTTGTCTGGAAAACTTCATGCAGATGCACCTGATGTGGATGTGAATGTGACTGGTCCATCTGTGGAGATGCCATCTCTGAAAGCCAGTGGTCATTTGCCTACTGTCGATGTGTCCGTTCCCGATGCATCGTTGGGAGGTGATCTATCCGGTAAGCTCGATTTGGAGGGTGTCGGTGTGGGAGTTGTGGACGCCGATTTGAATCTGCCAGACCTACAGATCTCAGGAAATGTGAGTGCACCGTCTGTCGAGGGAGACCTATCCATGCCAGATGTTTCCGCCAATCTGGACACAGATGTGAAACTGCCCAGTGTGCAACTGACTGGTCCAGATCTCCGTGTACATGGTGAGATGCCGGATGTAGATGTGGGTGCTAAGGTGGATGTGCCGAAACCACATATTTCAATCAAGACACCGAAATTCGGGTTCGGTCTGGGCAAGAAGAAGACGAAAGTGAAGACTCCAAAGGCTGATGTGAAAGTGGAGGGTGGAGCAGGTGGCGATATAGATTTGGATGCCGGTTTGGACGCTCACTTAGATGGTAAAGCAAGAAAGGGAGGTAAGAAGTTCCATTGGTCTCCTAAGTTCGGGTTGCCGAAGGGTGGTCTGAAGATTGGTGGAGGTGCTGGTGTTGGAGTGCCGGACACCTCGGTGTCTGTCTCAGGTACGACTGGTGGTGTGGATGTGTCTCTTCCGAAACCCGAACTCGATGTCTCCATGGAGGTTCCCGACGTTGGTGTGTCCGCCTCTGTGCCCGAAATCGATGTATCAGGTGGTGAGTTGGGACTGACTGGGAAGGTTTCTGCACCCGGTGTGGATGTCAGTGTTCCGTCGAAGAAGAAGAAGTTCACCTTCGGTTGGGGCTCGAAAGACAAGAAGGCGAAGAAGGTGAAGTTGCCCACAGTGTCGGGAGACGTGGATGCTAGTTTGGATGTGGGTGGAAAGGTTGATGTTCCCAGTGTGAAAGTTGATGTGGACTCAGGTGATCGAGTCAAAGGTAAGAAGTTCCACTGGTCTCCGAATATCTCATTGCCAAAGTTGAAAGTGCATGGACCAGATTTGTCTGGAAAACTTCATGCAGATGCACCTGATGTGGATGTGAATGTGACTGGTCCATCTGTGGAGATGCCATCTCTGAAAGCCAGTGGTCATTTGCCTACTGTCGATGTGTCCGTTCCCGATGCATCGTTGGGAGGTGATCTATCCGGTAAGCTCGATTTGGAGGGTGTCGGTGTGGGAGTTGTGGACGCCGATTTGAATCTGCCAGACCTACAGATCTCAGGAAATGTGAGTGCACCGTCTGTCGAGGGAGACCTATCCATGCCAGATGTTTCCGCCAATCTGGACACAGATGTGAAACTGCCCAGTGTGCAACTGACTGGTCCAGATCTCCGTGTACATGGTGAGATGCCGGATGTAGATGTGGGTGCTAAGGTGGATGTGCCGAAACCACATATTTCAATCAAGACACCGAAATTCGGGTTCGGTCTGGGCAAGAAGAAGACGAAAGTGAAGACTCCAAAGGCTGATGTGAAAGTGGAGGGTGGAGCAGGTGGCGATATAGATTTGGATGCCGGTTTGGACGCTCACTTAGATGGTAAAGCAAGAAAGGGAGGTAAGAAGTTCCATTGGTCTCCTAAGTTCGGGTTGCCGAAGGGTGGTCTGAAGATTGGTGGAGGTGCTGGTGTTGGAGTGCCGGACACCTCGGTGTCTGTCTCAGGTACGACTGGTGGTGTGGATGTGTCTCTTCCGAAACCCGAACTCGATGTCTCCATGGAGGTTCCCGACGTTGGTGTGTCCGCCTCTGTGCCCGAAATCGATGTATCAGGTGGTGAGTTGGGACTGACTGGGAAGGTTTCTGCACCCGGTGTGGATGTCAGTGTTCCGTCGAAGAAGAAGAAGTTCACCTTCGGTTGGGGCTCGAAAGACAAGAAGGCGAAGAAGGTGAAGTTGCCCACAGTGTCGGGAGACGTGGATGCTAGTTTGGATGTGGGTGGAAAGGTTGATGTTCCCAGTGTGAAAGTTGATGTGGACTCAGGTGATCGAGTCAAAGGTAAGAAGTTCCACTGGTCTCCGAATATCTCATTGCCAAAGTTGAAAGTGCATGGACCAGATTTGTCTGGAAAACTTCATGCAGATGCACCTGATGTGGATGTGAATGTGACTGGTCCATCTGTGGAGATGCCATCTCTGAAAGCCAGTGGTCATTTGCCTACTGTCGATGTGTCCGTTCCCGATGCATCGTTGGGAGGTGATCTATCCGGTAAGCTCGATTTGGAGGGTGTCGGTGTGGGAGTTGTGGACGCCGATTTGAATCTGCCAGACCTACAGATCTCAGGAAATGTGAGTGCACCGTCTGTCGAGGGAGACCTATCCATGCCAGATGTTTCCGCCAATCTGGACACAGATGTGAAACTGCCCAGTGTGCAACTGACTGGTCCAGATCTCCGTGTACATGGTGAGATGCCGGATGTAGATGTGGGTGCTAAGGTGGATGTGCCGAAACCACATATTTCAATCAAGACACCGAAATTCGGGTTCGGTCTGGGCAAGAAGAAGACGAAAGTGAAGACTCCAAAGGCTGATGTGAAAGTGGAGGGTGGAGCAGGTGGCGATATAGATTTGGATGCCGGTTTGGACGCTCACTTAGATGGTAAAGCAAGAAAGGGAGGTAAGAAGTTCCATTGGTCTCCTAAGTTCGGGTTGCCGAAGGGTGGTCTGAAGATTGGTGGAGGTGCTGGTGTTGGAGTGCCGGACACCTCGGTGTCTGTCTCAGGTACGACTGGTGGTGTGGATGTGTCTCTTCCGAAACCCGAACTCGATGTCTCCATGGAGGTTCCCGACGTTGGTGTGTCCGCCTCTGTGCCCGAAATCGATGTATCAGGTGGTGAGTTGGGACTGACTGGGAAGGTTTCTGCACCCGGTGTGGATGTCAGTGTTCCGTCGAAGAAGAAGAAGTTCACCTTCGGTTGGGGCTCGAAAGACAAGAAGGCGAAGAAGGTGAAGTTGCCCACAGTGTCGGGAGACGTGGATGCTAGTTTGGATGTGGGTGGAAAGGTTGATGTTCCCAGTGTGAAAGTTGATGTGGACTCAGGTGATCGAGTCAAAGGTAAGAAGTTCCACTGGTCTCCGAATATCTCATTGCCAAAGTTGAAAGTGCATGGACCAGATTTGTCTGGAAAACTTCATGCAGAATCCTGTATTCCTAATGTTCATTTAATGGACTCTGTACCTCTTGTTCTTTCTTCTACTTCAGTTTCTTCTTCTATTCCTTGTCCCGATGTTTCTTCTGTTCACGTTTTTTCTGATTCTTGCTTATCTCCTGAATTTGTGCAATCTTATATGCGCGATTCTCTTTTAGTTTTCTCTGATGCTGGCATTATTTCCCCTGTGGTTAGTTTCAGTCCTGCTGTCGTTTCTTCGCCTTCACCTTCTGATCCATCCGAATCTGTTGATTTCCTTCCTGCCGTTGAGGAACCTGTTATTTCGGCGTTTTCCTCACCTGAATTTTGTGAATCCAGTACTCTTCCTTCTCGAATTTCTCCTAGAAATGCTTTTCAAGATATAGATGAGAGCTTTTCATCTCCTGTTGATTCTGGTTTTAATGGTGACATTTCTAATGATGAGGCTGAAATTGATGAGATTTTTATTGTTCCCATTCAAACCGATCGTGTCCTACCGAAAGAGCAATATTTACAGAATCACAGGACATTTTAGGTGCTGAAGCTGAAGAAAAATCGTATTCCCCTACTCAGAATTTGAATGCATCACATGGGATAAAATCTGATAAAAGTAAATTACACAGTCCATTTCATATTTTGAAATCAAAAAAACATGATAAAGATTCTGCTCATCGAGTAAAAGTCATCGATGCCAACGACCAAATCTCAAGAAATACTGAAAAACTTAATGTTAATAATACTCTTTATAGCATCCCTGATGGTTCAGGACGTATTACAGTTGACAGCAAGTCTAAGAAAAAGGTGAAATCTCATAATAAGAAACCACACATATTCGGTGGTCAAATATCGACTGATGAAATTATTTCAGATACTCCCATGAAGCTGGATCATCATGGAGACTACCACGACTTAATAGGAGTATCTGTTTCTAGTCATAATGCTGATCTTGCTTTAACTCCTCGGCGTTCTCCCAGTAAACTCAGAGATCCCTCTATTCGGAAAACGTGGCATGGTGCAAGAGAACCCTATTCTGACTTTGTAGGAAGTCTCAATTCAGACCAAGATGAATACACTTTAACTGAAGATGTTTCGGTTAGTTATCTACAACCAAGGTCAACCACAAAATCCTCAAATAACAATTCATTAAACGCTTCTGACTTTCTTCGACGTAGTATAGGAAATTCAACAAAACGCCGCCCTTGGAGCACTTTAGAATATCCACCACCTGGGTGTCATTTTGTAGACGATGATTACATGTTTCCAGATGCTTTAACACCGACTAAAATTCCAAGTTTTCGAGCAAGCAAGGAAATAGTTTATGATGTTCCATATATCGACGATAAAGCCATTCCACGTTATGAACCTGAATGGCCTATAGGTGAATCAAGAAGAACTTTGATATCTCAACTCTCACAGAATAGTGGCAGTATTGTTCGAATGACAGCTGAGGAAGAAAGCAGTCTTATATCACTTGGTAAGTTAAAAATTGAAATTATGTTATTCTTTTTTTATTTTAATGCTTTGATAAAGATTCTCACTTGATGATAATGAAATTATTTTAACCGGCTTACACAAGATTACGTTCTACTTCTTGAACTATATAAGGATTAAAACTCTTAGAATTTAAGAAAAGGTAGTTTCAATAAATAGATAAATTAAAAGGTGTTCAAGCGGATTATTGCTTAGAAACATTAGTCAATCTCTCTTACAGATCTTTTCTCAGCTGTGGTCTCTTTTCAACTTTAAGTCTCATACCAAATTATGAAGAAATGAAGATAATAGGATTAGCTATTATTATTATTATTATTATTATTATTATTATTATTAGTAGTAGTAGTAGTAGTAGTAGTAGTAGTAGTAGTAGTAGTAGTATTAGTATCACAATTGTGAATGTCAGTTACGGATAGATTTTACAGTGAGCTGAAGATGTTTAGAGAACTGATGGGATTTAGAAAGCACAAGACAGTTGTCTCCTTTTAATTTATCTTAGTAGCATACATCTCCAAACTTATGAGGGATCGAGCCCAACATCTCTAAACATCATAGCATACATGATACTTAGTTAGAAGTAGAAGGATTCTGTTGACTATTTCAACTATTTAATGATATAGACTGATCTTAATCAGATATGATGAAATGATCGTCAAATTATACAGATTTTTCATAAAATCACTTAATTTACGCATCAATACTAGTAGATCTCAGTTATACTAATTCATAAATCAATTGAAGTTGACAATGTTGTTAACTGGTTCCTAATTTAAAAGTTCAAATAAATTGTGCTAGTCATAGTGCTGGAAGATCTTACTTCAATTAAAAGAAATGTCATAATATTTAGATTTTTAAATTCGTATAAGTTTACATAAATAAATGAGTTATTTCCATCACATCATTCAGTATGTTCCAAGATGATTTACTATTTACTAAAGTAATAATTCTTTTACAATAGGTAAAGCGCTGTGATTTTATTCAACTGATAATACTTAGATGGTTATTGGTTCTGTTTGAATGTTGTTTCATAATCATATAATTTGATACTATTTTACTAACGGTTGAATATTTTTTTACTCCAACAATAATGAGTTCACTGGTTGAAATCATCAGTCAATTGAAGCTAGACCACCATGGAAAACCTGGAAGCACTGGACAGCCGTTTCGTCCTAGTATGAGACTCCCCATCAGTGTGCATCCACGACCCCGCTCCCCGCGAGACTCGAACCCAGGACCTATCAGTCTCGCACCAGGCGCTTAACCATCTAAACCACTGATCTGGCCGGCATCCAATGGTGTTAATGTCTAACTTCAACCAATCCACGAAGTTGCGCCACCGCACACCATTGTCTTCAGTGAGTTGATATCTCACAACAGACCTGGTTGATTTCACCCATACTAGGACGAAACGACCGTCCAGTGCTTCCAGGTTTTCCATGTTGGTCTAACTCCAATTGACTCATGATTTCAACCAGTGAAGTTCCTAAAATCTCCTCAAAACCCACTCTGGTAATAATGAATTCATTTGAATTATCCGATTATTGATAGATGATATTGTGGTGTAGGAAAATTTTTGAAGACTAGTTTTTCCTAGTTGATTACAACATGTATACAATGCAGGCAATTAATTATTTTGGTGAATACTTCATATTTAATAACTGTTAGTCATCATGACGATATTGAAATGTTATTAGTTATTATTATTGAGAAATGACTAAGTAAATGATTCTTTTAAATTAGTCTAGCGGTCACTTGAAATATTTCATTTGAAAATAATAACAACATATTTTACTAGTAAGTATCTAGTCTATGTGACTAATGCATTATTGAAAGAAACCAGTCATCATTTCTAATGGATTAATAACCACATCTTTAACTAAAACACTATATGTCAGAAGGGGTTTTGTGGAGATTTTAGTAATTTCAATTGTTGAGATCATAAGTCAGTTGAAGCTAGTTGAAGTTAGACATTAACACCGTTGGATTCCTGCTCAGTGGTCTGGTGGTTAGGCGGTCGCGCGCGAGACCGATAGGTCCTAGGTTCGGATCTCGCCGGGCGAGGTCGTGGATGCGCACTGCTGAGGTGTCCCACAATAGAACGAAACGGCCGCCCAGTGCATCCAGGTTTTCCATGGTGGACTAGCTTCAATTGACTCATGATCTCAACAACTGAAATTAATAAAACATTATATGTTGTTAGGTAGAACATTTATTACTTTATTAAATTTCAAGAATCGACATATACCTATACTTTACTGATTAATGTTTACAAGTTGGAAACATAAGCCCATTGTTGCTTAATAATAGAAGAATTTTATTGGGAATTTTAATGAAAGCACAAAATTGATCAATATCTGTGAACATAATAGACGATACTCTGAAATATCTAATAATCTGTACTAACTTTTAGTTTCAGCATGATCGTTAAATCTTAAATGAACTCGGATAAACTTAACAAGTGCTATGTTGGACAAAAATCTTATCATGGTAGCCACTATGTAAAGTATAGTTACAGTAGTCTCTGTCAATTCAACTAGTCTACTAATTTCAATCGTAGACTATTGAATTTATATTCTTATTATACTTGATAAGCACACAGTAAAATTATTCGGTAATTCAATCTTTTGAAAAAATAAGAGAAAAGAAACTGTGAGTACATTTGAGCTAGAGTATATAAAGCTTTAATTTAGTTTGTAATGGTTTACATTATTTCGTTTTTTGATATTTTTAGATGAGATTTTTATCAATTGTAGTTGGGGTGTGTACATGTTATGTGGTTTACCTCTGTATAACCATTATTTGACAAGTTCTTATAGAATGCATGGAATATCGCTAATAGTAGAATCCAGGATGTGTATTTTGTGCTAATTAGGTTTCACTAGTTCAATTTACTTGTATCTCAGTGTTAATGTTCATTCCAAGATTCAAACCCAATACTTTTTGCTTCGAACATCCAATCACGTTATCCAGTTAGGTACTGAGTTTAAATAGTCGCTAACCTATACAACTACAGAATAATTCAAATTATCACAAATTGAATTTAATTTCATACCTGTTTCACAAACCAGTAATTATCCCAGAGTGAACTTTAACACTAGGATACAAGTAAATTCAACTGGTGAAACCCAAATAACATAAAACACACATCCTTTATTCCACTGTTAGCTATATCGTATTTGTTCTATATGGAACTTTCTTGAATGACAGGGGCTCTAGCGTGACTAATCAATGACTTATCACTCTCTTGTCACGGATAAAGAAACTAGAAAAACCGATTCCATGCTTTTTTTTGTATTACGGCACATTGTCATAAGTATGATTAAATTTCAGAGACTTTTCATATTAAATTTCTCATTTATTCTATCAATGTGTGATTGGTACAAATGTAAGGTAACTGTGTTTTCTTTTTTAGTTCATATACATAATTTAACATAACTTATATAATTAAGCTTAGAAAGAATGCATAATATCAGGACACCATAAACCATAAATACTACTATACAATAGTTAGTTAATATTCAAGTTTCTTCTTGTATTTAACAATTCATATAGAACCGGTTAATAGACTAATTATAAAATATAAGTATGTTGCGTTTAAAAAAAAAGTGATACTCATACTCATTTCATTATTTCATATAAGTGTTTGATGATAATATCAGTCTTTAATTTAAGATAGTTGGATAGAATCAATAGGATAGATAAAGTGTAGATCGATCTTATGATTTACAATATTTATCAACTGTTCAGATCTAACAATTCAATGATAATTTCTTTGATTTCTGCAATGAATGATATGGGTTGTAACCTATATGATAGTATCCAGTTTTCGTAAAGGCTATACATTTATCTTCATTATATATCTTGGTAAGTACAGAATCTAAATTTGATGCATCCTATCTGTTACGTTCAATCCTTCAAAAGAATAAAAGCGATCGTTTAGTATTACAACATATTATTTAATGATTATGTCTAACAAAACAGTCGACTATTCGACATTGGTTAACATTCCATGATATATTCATACATTGTTTATCGCTATTTAAGTGACGGGATTAGTTCTTTCAAAAGTATACTCACTAAAGATGATTTTGAACATAAGTAATGAGACAAATGTAAAATCAGAATAAACATAGATATTTCAAGACTTCGATGAATAAACCATTAACTATATATGACATAATAGCTTATTTGCAATAAGATATGAATTTAGTAATTAGGTTATAGACTACTGAGAAGAAAAAAAACAGGATTCAATTATTTAGAACAGGAAATAATAGTAGAATAAGGTGAATACATACGAGATTTTTTAAAAATTTCCTTGATGAAATATATGTTCCTATAAGAAATCAATAAGAAAAGATCCTTTCTTTCTCTTGTTCGATAATGAATCCAATACAAATTATATGAAAAGTGATTCTCATGTAAATCAGTAAGTTTTCAATGACTGATAATATAAAATAATCTTCAGAAATTTGAATATAATTACTAAAAGGTTATTCACAATTAATCAACTGGATCTGTTGTGAGATAGTAACTCACTGAAAATTATAGTGAATATGTCGCCCGATTTCGTGGATTAGTTGAAGTTAGACATTAACACCATTGAATACCAGCTCAGTGGTCTAAAGGTTAACGTTCGCGCGCAAAACTGATAGACCCTGTGTTCAAATCTCGCGAGGCGGGATCACGGAACGCACTGCTAAAGAGTCCCACAATAGGACGAAACGGCCATCCAGTGTTTCCAGGTTTTCCATGGTAGTTTAGCTTCAATCGATTCATGATCTCGAATATTGAAATTACATAGTTTTTGTCAACTATATGATAATAACATTGAAATAATGTCATAATTTAGTTTTGATAGATATACAAATGAAGGTTATTTTTTCTTTCATTTTTATCACATTCTATTATATAATATTATATATTTATTTATTTAGATACTAAACTCTCCGATCATCAGAATATATCCAAAAGAATAAGTCGATTTACATCACATCTTTTGAAAGGTAACAAATCTTCATTGGAACAAGATGATGATGTTTCAAAACCTCGATCGAAAAGTTTAACTCGATTAAAAACATGGTGGTCTAAACGTGGTTCACCGCATAAATGAAACTTGACCTTTTATAACAGTAATAATGTTATTAATCCATTTATTTCCAATTCACTTTTGTTCTAAAAAGACAACCAGAAATTGTATTGATCGAAATTTAAACACAAAAACTTTTTCCCAATTTTTTCAAATTTATGTCTCCTCAACTATTCATCTACTATTAAGTTGCTGCATTATTCTATCAGAATAACCATCGATTCAGGTAAGTAATTATTAATTTTCAATTGTATTATCTCTTATATTTGACTTACTCAGTTGTGAGGTCGATTTTCTGTGTTTCATTTTCGAGCCTTCCTCCCAAATTATTCGATTTAGACAACTTGGGTAGTATCACTAAACTTTGGAAGTAAATTAGTGTTACATATAGTTGTTGTGTTAATTACGAACTGTTGTTATAACTTTTGGCCTTGTGTCCCTATCAATATATATAACGTAATGGTACCTCCAATTATAGAACGGTGATTTATCGACCGGGCCAATGACGTATAAAACCCGTATGAGAAGTCTAGAGTCCTTATCGGTTCTTCTTCCTGCCTAGCTCTACCTGTTAAGTCCAGAACACAAATCTCAGACTCCTCAATATCAATCATGTATTTCAAACATACGGGGTTTATATACCAACCAAACAGGCCACATCACACCATAAAATAGAAAATAACATTTGTACAAGATCTAACCAAAAGTGACTGTGAATGTGGGAGACTGTAATTAATAGACATAATTCAAGAACGGTAAGTCATGTAATAATAGTCTATTGGTCGAAATAAAGTTTGTAATAAGAGGAACATGAATATGCATAGTTCAGCTACTTAATAATCATACGATAAACATATATATATCGTATTGTTCCATAAATAGTTTTCAAGCATTATCATTCATAATTCTCTTCTACATGTAACAACTATGACTTCATGAAGCATAACAATTACTTTGTATTGAGATTAGTTGGTGGTTGAAGGTAGTTGACAGGAAACCCTGGACCCGGGTTTCGTGCTACTTGGCACTCGTCAGCAAGGTGTACCTGTAATCACGAGGGAACTGGTGCTCCCTAGCGGATTCGATCCCGTGTCATCCAGCTTCACAGTCAGGGACGTTACCACTGAGCTATCCGGCCGCGACTGACCTCCTGTAGGACTGAGATGTAATCACAATTGATTGATCACTGGGTGGTGATCAATGTCATGTATGTCAATTCCTTATTTAGTAAAGATCAAATGCTATCGACCATGTTGCAATGTGGCCACCAGTCTAGGTGACTCGACATTGAGGCATTATATATTGAAATTAGATGGTAGTTGGAGGTAGTCGAAAGTAATTCATCACTTCAAGAAAACTTCATTGATCAATTAGTCTACTTATCTTTACAATGTTAAATTTAATGACTATATCAATCACTTGAAAAATAAATATTGTGTTATTTTGGATGGATAGAAATAGACAGTTATCTTTCTGCCAAAATTCCTTCTTCTTCTTCTTCTTGGTTTCATTTGATTGGTAGATTGAGAAATAATTGATTTATTATTAAACATTTAACTTGTTCTGATTTTTGAATAAACCAGTCAGTGTATTAATTAGATAAAAATGTAATATATTTATAATCATTTTATCTATTGAATGGTTCATAAGTTTATTGTTCATGTCAGTAATTTGCTACAAGAAAAATTTCAACACAAATGCTGAAAGACAATATCATTGATGACGATTGGTAACATTGATGTCATATCATAGATTGATTGATGTTAGAAATATAAAATCATTTGGTATCAACTGAATAGTGTTATCCTTAAATCAAGACTTGAAGTTCCTGAGTTGACAATGATGATGAATTACAATCTAAGATCAGTTACCTACTCAATACTTCTTGAAATGAACTGATCTTTAAGGCAAAATTAATTTCTATAAGCTATTTATAAGTGCTTAGATCTTCCGTTGATGGTGTTAAGGATTAAATATTGGTCATTCTGTTTTGGCATATATATATATATATGCTGAGTGGATTGACTTGAGATTTCCGTTAGGTAATTATCCATTTTTAACTAAGTTTGATACTGGCTAATAGGCGAATCCAGGAAGCGTATTCCATTCTATTTGAGTCTCATTAGTTGAATGTATCTACATCCTAGTGTATATGTTCACTCAAAATCTTTCACCTATTACTTTTCTATTCAAATACCCAACACTAATGATTTGATGAACTTAATAACTAAGTGGATAAAGTATTCAATATTTAAAAACAAAATCACTTCATTCATATTCACTAATGAACATGAACTTCTAAATAGAATGTGAAATAAGTTAATTGAATTCCACTATTACTAATTAACATCTATCTCTATTCTAATATAACTTTATATTTAATAAATAAATAAAGAAATAAACTAATAAAGAGAAACATTTACACTCAACAATAAATTTACAGTATCATGACCTATCTTTACTTTTAATTCAAAGATCTATTATAAACAGAATCGTTAATATCAGATGGGTTTTGTAGCATTATAGTAATTTCAATGGTTAATATCATGAGTCAGTTGAAGCTAAACCATCATGGAAAACCTGGAAGCACCGAACGGCCGTTTCGTCCTATTGTGGGACAACTCGGCAGTGCGCATCCACGACCTCGCCCCCTGCGGGATTCGAACCCAGGACCTACTGGTTTCACACGCGATCACTTAACCACTAGACCACTGAGACAGAATCTAACGGTGTTAATGTCTAAATTCAACCAATCCACAAAATTGAGCGACACATCCACCATTGTCTTCTGTGAGTTACTATCTCACAACAGACCTGGTTGAACTCCACTGGTCACTACTTCTCACTGTAACTCCAGAATATACCTCTTGAAGCCAGTCACTAGTGAGCATATGTTGATTAATATCAGATAGGTTTTGTGGATATTATAGTAATTTCAATAGTTGAGATCATGAGTCGATTGAAGCTAGACCACCATTGGAAAACCTGGAAACATTGGACGGCCATTTCGTCCTATTGTGGAACTCCTCATTAATACATTCTTTCTTTTTTTCTTTTTCTTGTATTTATCGTTTTTTTTTCAATTATTTCATTCATATTAATTTTGTAACATAGAAACTTTTTTATTGATTAATTCTTTAATACAAAATAAATTTTTAAAGAAAAAAAAAAGTTTTTTTCGGCATATTAGAGAAATAGTTTTCATAAAACTTTTTTTTATTTTACATAATTAATAAAGTACAAATTAAAATAGTGTAAGTATATTTATCACTTTGTGTGTGTGTGCGTGTTACTGTACAGACGTATATATAATATATATATATATATATATATATATATATATATATGATAGGGATTTATTAGAGTTAAGTTAAATATCACGAGTACGCATAATTAATATTACCAATGTCTTTTATTGAGTAGACAGATCATGTGAAAATCGATTAATCACTTTAGTTTCTTTTTCTTTCTTTTTTTTGTTTTTTTTTCTAGTATTTTATGTATGAATTATACGTGTAAAGTTAATTTAGTTAATCATTCATTCATAAAATATTGTAACGTTTAACTTGGATATAATTTTTCTTTTTTAGAAATGTCATAGACAATTTGTTATTAAATTCACCCCATTGTACAAACAAATGACTGGCAACACTTAGTATCTAAGTGAATAACGTGATGACGTTTGATGAAGTGAACAGTATTGATTTCCAGTCTCAAAATGAACATGAACTCTGAGATACAGGTATATCAAACGGATGAGTCCTAAATAGGACGAAACATTTATCCTGTATTCCACTGCTAGACATTATTCATCTTTGCTAATTTGTTATTAAATTGTTCGACTCCAACACTTGAAATAAATCAGTGAGAGAATACTTTGATTATGATATTTAGTGATCAAGATCTAGATCTTGTAGATTGTATCAAATCTCTTAAGGGTACAGATGTATTATATTACTGATAAATATAGGCTAGCACAAAGTTTAAGTGAATGGTCCCCCTCCTAAGAATATTTCTTATCATTTAATGGCTATATTACAACTCGATCATTGAACTTTAGACAGAATAATGAAGTATACAAGTATGTGATTATTGTTCAGTAAACAAATAGTTTATAAATTAAGTTTAAACAACTATTCCTTCTACTCGTGGAATAGTTTCGTTGGTGCATGATAAAGAAATAAGTAGCATATCACTAACAGTTTATTTCTTCAAATGTTACATGATATGAACAAATATAGAAATAGAATCAATATCATACATCGTATACAATCATCTTTGACTTTGATAATAAAAAATTCATTGTATACTTAAAAGAAACCAGTACTTTAGTTAAGCATTCTTTTACATGCAGAAAACACTATCTGGGTTCGAATCTCGCAGAGAGCGAGGTCGTGGATGCGCACTGCTGAGGAGTCCCACAATGGGACGAAACGGCCGTCCAGTGTTTCCAGGTTTTTCAATGGTGGTCTAGCTTCAATCGACTCATGATCTTAACCATTGAAATTACTATAATATCCACAAAATCCATCTGATATTAAATTATAAATATAGAAATAATGTCACCAAATTTTACTGAAATCGATAAATTGTTATTTGTGTATAGATTTCATAGAGATTTAACGTATTACTATTTCGAAATCTTCGTAACTTCAGATGTTGTTAAAATCTAGATGATTTCAAACGTTCTTTCTATCAGCTTAGTTCTAGATTTCTTAAGGAGATAAACAAAATTCTAATTATATATTCCTTTGAAGAAATTCAAACAAGTTGTTATGACTTTTGTTCGGTCGATTATCACGTGATAAAATCGACAATCAGAACACGACTTATATCATCTTAACGATGTACCACAACAATGACATGTTGATTGGTCTGAACAGTCTAGCATTCCTTATTCATAATTCTTTCCCTGCCAAGCCCAGGATACTGAGCCCAGAACGCCAATAATAGCAGCTTCTACTGTATAAATCATATATTTCAGACATACTGAGTTTATATACTGGACAAACAGATCACATCATACCATAAAATAAAATAAATAACAATTATACAGGATCAGGCCAAAAATTGGCTGTGATTGTGACTGTAGTTCATAAACTGGGTCTAACTTGAGAATGGTAAATCGTAGAATAACAGTCTATAGGTCAAAATAATGCTTGTAATAAGAGGAATATGAATATATATAATCTAGTTACTCAATAGTTATACAATAAGTATATATTTATAATATTAGTCCATTAATAGCTTTCAGAATTCACCCATTGTTTAATCTTCACTAGGATATAACATAAGTTAGATAGAAGTAACATTTGAATTTCAACCGTTAAGATTATCTTAAAAATAGTTTTTAGATAAAGTCACTTCGACATACTTCATTTCGGATTTCTGTCAGATTGTTCGTTCATATTTTGATTAATGTTCATATAGATGTCAGCGTTGATTTATATAATCAGCAAAGTCGTCACACGTTGACTGTTAAGAATTCTGAAAATTAACCAGCTAAGTCATTCAGTTAACAAATATTTCAACCGCGTCTGTTATGAGGACAATGGTGGAAAGTCGCACAATATCGTGAATCGGCTGAAGTTAGACATTAACGCCGTTGAATGTCGGCTCAGTGATCTAGAGGTTAAGCGTTTGCGCACAAAACCAAAGGTCCTGGGTTGACCTACCGCAAGGCAGGATCGTGGAGACGAGCTGCCGAGGACTCACATACTAGGACGAAACGACCATCCAGTACTTGGAGGTTTTTAATGATTTTTTAGCTTAGATCGACTCAGGAATCCAACTATTAAAATATCTCTCAGTCATTGCTTTGCATGCATTATCTGAATACTGTCATAGACTATGAATGACATTAGTTCATAATAATTACAAAACTAGGTCACATTCTTTTGATATTGGTCAAATTAAGTAAGAAAACTAGCTGACAGAGATTATTTACAAGCTATTCTTTCAATCAAATAACATTTCAAATGTAAAAACAAAACAAAAAAGAATGTAAACAGAGAAAGAAATCACCTTTTGATAAAACAAATTCTATTCTATAAAGTCAGTCAGTTAATTATTATAAAATGTCTATTTTATCATTAGATGGTAAATGTCTATCAGTCAGTGGATCAGTAGGTTTCATTTGGCATGTCCTTTTATGGTTCTAGTGACCCATTTATAATATATATTTGTATCTGTAAGGGTGTATTGAACTTTTTAATATGGTAATTATAAGATAACAGACAACATAATCAAATTTTCGCCATAGATTAAGATTAGATTAGCTGAATTAGGCCAGAAATGACGATACCTAATCTACGAGTATATAATTATTATTACTAGTGTACAACTCCTTACTAGTTTACCTCACTGCACAAGCTATCAGGTGTCTAAACTTAGTAGCTAAATATATTATACCATGGCATTTGAAGCAAATGGCATTAAGACCGTGTCCCGGTGTGAACATCCAGCTGATGAGTCCCAGATAGGAATAAACGTGTGTTTTGCATTCCACTGCTATCCATCATCAATCTCTGCATAAGACCCTTCTTTATATTCGAAAAAGTCCATACGCAGCTCTGTTTAACCACATTTGTTTGAAATAATAGCGTTGTGAAAGGTAGAATTAAAGCATTTATATTATTCCATCATATTTTCTCCAACATGAATCAAACTCACCTTTTACACTGGAAACGATGGGGAATCCAGTCAACAATCTTTGTCTTTCTGTATTGAAAATAAATTTATATTATCTTCAACTAACCTATGGATAAGAAAAAAATTGAACAGTTGTGATAATTTTCAATCTTTTTCTCGCTTAACCATTTGATATATCTTCTTTGGTACATTTGTACTTAAACTTTGCTTATTCATAAACATACTTCGCCTTTTGACATTGAGGAACTTTCAACAGCTATTTTCCTGTGTTTTAAATACCGAAATATCTAATCATTTAATCATGCCATTCTCACTTAATTGTTACTACTACTATTACTACCACTATTACTATTACTGCTACTACTACTACTATTATTATTATTATTACTACTACTACTACAACTTCTGTAGTGAACGAAGACTCATGTACGGTAAACCGATTTAGCAACATGAGACTGATCAACTGAAGTCCTGAATATCGATGGGAAGATACAAGTAAAACAACAAGTGAATTTATAATATAAATTTATCTAAAAGAATAGCCTTTGGCAGTGTGTCTATGTTCTAATATAGTGGGAATTGTTAGGCACATACAGTTTTAATAATAAGAATGACTTGGTAGATGGTCAACAATAATTTACTTGTAATCTATTCTCTCTCTCTCTTCTACCATTATAACAAACTAGTTATTTCATCACTGTCTATAATACTGAACATGTAAAACACTCTGTCCATCAATTTCTGTCCTTACATGTTATGCATCAACAAATTTTCTCAGTGTTTATTACATCATTAAATTAGGTTACTATTACCAAACTGATGCCAAGTCTATCCAGTCAACCAATGGTGCAGATTCTGTTTTATGGATTCTGCTGAATTTTCTCTTATCCTCCATTCATTCGTGTTTTTTTTTCATTTTACCCACGCGTATTTGAAAATTAGGTAACAAAGTTAGACTGGCAGACTACATGTATATATATATATATATATATATATATATATATATATATATCATTGATTATCCTAAAACTGTTCACTAGACTCCTTTACCCTTAAAATTTCATCCCCCTAGTACCCTATACATATACGTTAACAAGTTTATTCTAACTTGTTTGTTTTTGTGTTACTAAATGAATGATAAGTGAAATTTTCAATGTTTCTTTTAACACAATCAGCCTGTATTTTTTTCTTCACTCTTTCTTTTTCGCATTGTTCAAGGTCAAAACCATTAGTCACATGATGCTTACAATGGCAATAAATTGAATACATGTACATATATGCCATAACAATAAAAATAAGAAATAAGTGAGTAGCTGATTGTCATAAGAAATGATTGTTAAATAACACTGATTCATATCCTATCATAAATCAGGGTTCTTATCAGTGTACATATATACTAAAGAGGAAGAATGTATTTGTATACATATTTCTTTGAAAAAGTTTGGACCAGATTACCAGGCAAAACGTTGGATTTGCTTCAAATTCATTTGCTGAAATTTTTTTCAAATGTATTCTTCCTCCTTAATGTCCCACATCAATTAGGCGCCCAATTAATGTGAAACTATCCAATCAAATTTAGACGAAAGTTCTTATATATTTACATTGATACTGTCTTGTAAACTTGGTTATTTAATAACTACTTCAGAGAACAGTGTTTTTTTCATCTACTATGCTAAATATTCATTATTCATAACAATTTGTAATTTGATAATTGAGTTCACGAGTCAGTTAAAGCTAGACCATCACGGAAAACCTGGAAGCACTGGACGGTCGGTTCGTCCTAGTATGGGACTCCTCAGTAATTTACTTAACATGATAATATCTTTTTCTTTGATAGTTCGTATTCACTTATACCGTTATTATTTATCTAAATGAATTGGTTATATTTTCTTAAGTATTTATAATCGTTCAGTATATACGAATACTGATAGAAATTCAACTTAAGATCATACGAATATTATTAAAATGTTTAAAGTTTTATAACAGTTATTAAGACAATGAGTTACGTGTATGTTGAAGTCAAATGAATTTGATAGTAATAATGTTGTTCTTTATCATCATCTTCTTTCGAATCTAAGCGAACTTCATTATGTTATTTTTTGCTGGATTATCAAATATGAAGGGCAGACTCAGTATATTAATCGGCCGAATGGGAGCAAAGCTAAAAATGACCTTTAAATTTTCAAGCTACTTATTATTCTGTCAGTAACATACTGATTACGAGCAACCGATAATTTATCATGTTACAAAACTAAAGAAACTTGAATACTATATTAGCCTTATACAGATTAAGACTTTTCTAAAGACATACAGCCAGAGTATTAAAA